TGCCCTCCGGCCTCCTCCTCCTCTCCTCCGCCTCCTCGCTGGGGTTGCGGCTGCCTTTTCCTCGGCCTCCCGCTGCTCTCCGAGGGCTCCCCCGCCCCAGCCGGCGCTGTCCGCCTGGCGGGGAGTCGGGAATCGCTTCCGAACTTCGGGACCCACCGGCAGAGTGGAAGAGGAGAGATCCCGAAGGGCCCCCCGGGGAGCGGAGGGTGGGGGAAGAGAGGCTGACGGAGGGGTGCGGGACTTTACCCTCTGACGGCAGCTTCTCTTCACCTCCCACTCCCCCCTAAGCACCCCCTCCAGGAACCCTAGTCGGGCCGTTTCCTCGAGGTGCTGCTGACTGAGGGTGGGGCGGTGGTAGGGAGGGTCCTATGTTTTGTCTTTAAGGTTGAGAAGAGCAAATTGGTTGGGGGCTCAGCCCCAACCAATAACCCTGAGGCTGGTGGGGCCAAGCCCTCACCCCTTCCTCTTTTTGGAGCGTGGGGGTCAGATGCTCACTCTGCTTGCTTTGCCAGATTTCCCACCAACAGAGTGGGGCACAGGCCCTTTGGGGTGTTCCTACGGCCCCACTCCCCTGAGCTGCCTGTGGGGTCCCACCTGCCAGGTTGAATCACAAGAGCTGGCATTTGGGTGACACCGGCTCTTCCCAAACCCTCCCTGCTCACACCCAAATAGAGCTCCCCCCCCAGCCTCCAGCCCCCCAGCCCCCCAAACTCTGCCTGGAAAACCCATTATTGCAAGGCAGCAGTTTGGTTAGGATCAATTATTAACATTTTTTCCTCTTTCATATTTAATGTGAATGTAGGTCCTATCACAGGCAATCACATTAAGGAAATAGCACTGCAAATTGGTAAGACATGGTACTTAGTGTAGGATGGACCAGATTATTTAAAAAAAAATATTTAGTGCTTTTTTTTTTTAATTTGGGGAGAAGGAATCTAGTAGAGGGCGGCTATTATTTTTAATAGCTCCGCTTTATTTGGCAACTTTTCTGAATTCCAGGATAGGGAGAGAGACCAGAAGGAGAAGAGAAGCCTGTAAATATTTCTACCCCCCCCCCCACTCCATTACCCTTTCCTCTGTTCCCCTTCACCACAAGGAGCCAGTTGGAGGGAAGTGTGCTGGGAAGAGCTCTCTGTTACCCTGCCTTCTCCCTGGCTCCCCACCTTGGGACTGGAGCAATCTTGCTTCCCAATTTCCCTGAACTTGCTTTCGCCAAACTGCGAGCTGAGCAGGAGCGGAAAAGGAGAGACTATTGCAACCATAAGTTATCTGGGAGCCCCTGGCGCTCCCTTGTCCACAGACTGGAGTTGATAAATGGTTGCAATTGGGCTGCTGGTGAATTGGAGTGTGCTGGATGTTCGCATCTCTGAGTGCGGACACATATTTGGGTGTGGGGGGGTGTATGGGGGGGTATCTACATGGACATTACATGCCTGCTACCATGTGGCCAAGAGACTAGAGCTTGGGACCAAGGCAGGGTGCACTGGGACTGGGCTGGCGGGCCAAGAGGTCTCTTGTCTGTGGCTGAAGCTACTCTGCCCCAGTCCAACCCTCTCACCTCCCGGCCCTAGAGCGAGGGCCTTCAGATCAGCCACCCCTAGTTAGACCAGTAGTGCGGGGGTGGGGGGGGCACCATGCTGGGCTCTGACTTGAGTCCTTACCTGTTTGGACCCAAGTGTAGAAAGAGATAAAAAAAAAAAAAGAAGACCCGAGGCGGGCAAAGCTTTGGCAATGCTGGGCACCCTGGCAGCTGGTTGGCTCCCTCCTGTCCAAATCACCTCCACCCAGAGATGTCCACAGCAACTCCCGGCCCATGGCTGGGCCCCTGTCTGGGAACTTGAAGGCCCAGGTGCCCCTTTCTCCAATGCCAGGTGGGGAGTAGATTGCCAGGAGGGTGCCTTCTTGGAAGGAGAACAGGAGAACCCTCCATCCCCCCCCCTTCCTTTCTTTGATTCTGTCGCTGCTTCTCTTTCAGCCAACCCTTCTGCCAACTGGCTGCACGCTCGCTCTTCCCGGAAAAAGCGCTGTCCCTACACCAAATACCAGACGCTGGAGCTAGAGAAGGAGTTTCTGTTCAATATGTACCTCACCAGGGACCGTAGGCACGAAGTGGCCAGACTCCTCAATCTGAGTGAGAGACAAGTCAAAATCTGGTTTCAGAACCGGCGGATGAAAATGAAGAAAATGAATAAGGAACAGGGCAAAGAGTAAAGACGCCCCCTCCCCTTCCCACTCCTTCCCCATCTCACGCTTATTTATAAGGTGGCTGCAGAGCCAGTGCTGTCTGGGATGTATCCAAGTGGATGGGGAAGGGAGTCTTTCCCTTCAAAGTCCTTTCCTGCGACCTAGAGCCTCTCTCCTTTCTTCTGCTCTCACCAGCCCTCCTCTCCCTAGACCTCAGGAGAAAGTTTTGTTAATTTAGAAGGTAGACGTAGTTGGTTCTTAAGAAGGGAATGGGCCACAAGGAAAGAGAGACCCTAGTTGAACCCCTAGCATCCCGCGCCCCCCCCCCCAGTTTTTCTGGGAAGCCCCAGCCCCTCACTTCCAGCCTGCCTATCCCAATGCCACCCAGGGACACTCCAGCTGCACACAGCCCAGCAGATGCCCTCATACAGGAAGCCTGGGGCCCACAGTAGTGACAGGGAGAGCTCACAGCCAACACTCAAATGCAGTAGCCTCCCTAGTGCAGACCATCGCACGGGCAAATCTATTAGAACAGCCAGCACACCATCAGGCAGGATTCTACCCCTGATGCAAATACAGAGCAAGATGTCTAGAGACACACTCCTGAACGAGGCACTGCAGCCCACGGGGCTGAATGTCACCATGCCACCCCCACAGAACCCCCAACTCTACCCTTCCGGGCCCAAGAGCGAGGGGGACAAGCTCGGCCCCCAAGCTGGTGGGCTGGAGGGGGGAAGGAAAGGCAGCGTAGTCTTAGGAGGGTATCTTAGGTTTTCTGAAGGCGTTCCACACATTTTGTTGCAGGAAATGTTTAATTCTGCATGTTGTTTTCCTCTCCTTCCAACAAAAGGAGGGCAGATCGTGGGTCGTAAGCCTTGCCAATGTTGTCCACCCGGTCATCCGTGTCCCGCTTGTCTGCGACTGTAGCCCCTCTTGCTCGCCACCGGCCCTGCATCCTTCCGCATCCCCCCAGCTCCGAAATCACCTCTGGTTGGCCAAATCCACCTGGCACCAGCGACTCAAGCCGCCCCTGGCGGGAAACCCTCCCCTCCATCCCTCTAGGTCCACCCTGCCTTAGGCAGGAAAGCCAGGGCAGAGAGTCCCGTGGAGAATTGATTGAGAATCGATTCCTGAGCGCCCTTCCGGGATAAGTTGTGGCGGACAAGGAGGAGCAAAGGCTCCCGCGAGCGGGCCCGGGGCGCATTCCTCCCCATCCTGCCCAGGTCCCGACCCACTGGGAGGAGGAGTCGCGGGAACTGGCGGCTGCCGCCCTGGCGCAGAAAGAGACGGGCCCGGGCGCCGATCTGCGATCTGCTCCGGGCCTGGATGGCGACCTGCGCGGCTGCTTCACGCACGCTTCTGGGGATCAGTCCCGCGTGCAAAGGAAAAGGCGGAATGGCACCTAAGCTTCAGGCCGAAGCTGCCTCTCCGCTTCCCGTCCGTCCCCTGCTCCCCCACCTCGCCAGTCCCTTTCAATTCCATGGACTCTTGCTTCTGCGCCTCCCGCCCTGGCAAGGGGACATTCCAGTAGAACTTCTTTTGCTTCGTCAGTGGCTGTGAAATTGTGCTGTGTTTTGTGATTTCTTTGGGGGTGATTGTCTCGCCTGTTTTCAGTTGTCTCTTACATGGGAGGGTGGTGGGTGGGAGTGGGGAGGGTCAGGGGCCTAGAGCTCTGATTGTTTTGGAAGAAAAAAAAAGAAAAAAGAACAAAAAATATATATCACTCTAGAAAATAAACGTCCTCTTGTGTCTCATTCTGTGCTGGCTCTTCTCACCTGGCCAGGAGCAGAGGTTCTAGTTCCTCTTGGGTGGCTTGGTAAGAAGGAAGTTTAGACCCTGCAGAGCTGGCTCCTGGGGGATCTGAGAGCTGCTTCTATTGAGCAAGAGCCTCCCACAGGAGAGCTGGGAGATGGGAGGGGAGGAAAGGGCCTGGTCTCGCTTCTTCCGAAGGTGTACCAGGGACTCCCACAAACCCCAGAGCCAGAGGGAGGGCAAGGCCCGGCCCTGTGGCTCCTGGAAGCAGCTCCCGGCTCAGCTGCCTGAGAAGGTCACCGTGGTTTGGTCACTTTAAAATCTCATGCCAGCGAGGAGGCAGTAGCTTCCTCTGCTGTTCCCTGCAGCCGGGACGACTGGTTAGGCGGAGCCCTCCTTTCTAACATTCACGAGGAGGATCAAACCCCTTAGGGCTCTCGGTTCCCTCCTGGAATCGGAGCCAAAGGTAGCTCCCTTCGTACAAAGCGGGTGGAGGTTGGTGATGGTGGGGGGTGGGGGGCGACCTGGGCAGGCAGCTCCAACCGCTCGGAGAGAGGATTGAATGGGGAACAGAATTGTCTCAGGAGAGAAAAAGAATTCCCTTTCCAATCAGACCCCAGAAGTAAGTTCTGTTGGGAGAGGCACCTTTCTGCCTCCCTCAGATGGTGG